CTTTCCATCTCTCAGGCGATTCCGGCTTTCCCGACTTTCCTTTTCCCGCTGTCCATGTCCATGGAACTTGACCCAAATTGCATTTTTACTTTCCTCCATTCCATTGCGCCAAAGTAATTTGGTTCCTTTCATTGCGCGTTCGTTTAGCAACAAAGTTTGCTTCTAAAAAGAAATCCTTGATAAATTGTCATAAAGCAGGGGAATTTTTATCAGTTTCAACGGCTTTTGTGCAACCTTTTGCTGCACTTGTCGCAATGAAGCGATATCCGCCTTCATCTTCGCCCCCCCACGCTTTATTCTTTATTACAACTTATTTCTGGCCATGTTGTAAGCCAACGAACAGCGGTGGCCCGCGGACAAGCCCCTGATCCGGGTCAGGACTGCTTGACCTTGTTTTGGATGTGGGAAATGGGAAATGGGCCGAAGTTGGCAAAGTTTCCCGGCCGGCCGCTTGTCATTTGCATCGATAAGCGTGCTGGCCACTGCCATAACCATAATAACAATACGTTCAGTAAGCCAAATAATCGCGGCCATTGCACTGAGGAAAATGTTAGAGGATTGTATTTAGAGAGTTTTATATTTAAGAATTATTTAGCAAATTGAAAAGAGAATGTTCTTTTAAGATTTAAAGATTTTCGGAAAGAAACTTTAAATACAGATATATAAAAATATATAGTAAAGAGTACAAATATGTATTTTAATATTTTATAACAATTTTACCTACATCTTTGCTTAATAAAATTGTGAAAAATACAAATTCTCGTCCTGGCAACTATACAACCTTTTCATGTTTACTTTATCAGCTTCAAACTTGGTTTTTTATCCGTGTACAGAAACACACAGAGTGTCTCTGGGGCGGGGCAAGCAATTTAAGTCCTAATGAGCAGAGCGACAAACTCACTGGGAAGGTCAAGTCTTTGTCCGGCCGGCCGATAAAAAATGATAAGCCCAAGCCACCGCCAAAGGCAAAGCGAAAGCGAAAGCGAGCCACAGCTGCTACCCATAAACTGACAGCAAAGGGGAAAGTCAAGTTTTAGCCATGTTTTAGTACACTGTTATACTGTAGGACAGTTGCCTTTGGGCCAAGTATTTGCATGCCGGGCGCGTTCACCAAGCCGAGCGCTTTTATGTGGCCATTTGGACGCCCTGAGCTGTTTTGATATTTTATTTCCATACATTTTTATGGGCTAGTAAGCAAATTGTCGGGGCGCGTGGGTCTGGGCCTGCTCCGAGGATTTCCATGTGCCCTGCTCTGCACTGCAAGCAAGCCCATGATGGATTCGAAAGTGAAAAAGTATAATTAATTTTAAAGCTTAGTTGTCAACCGGTTTCCGTTGGGATGGGGGATGGCGGGTGGTGGGTGGTGTGACTGGTAGCCGAAATTCAGCAAATGATGGCAATGCTTTAGCCGCAAATTAAATTGAAAGCCTTCGCTGCGTTGCGTTGTGTAATCTCGGAAATAGGAATGAAACTGCGGGAAATCGAACAAACTGAACGACTGAACAACCTGCCAACTGCCGATTCATTGTGCGTCAAATTAATGACAAAGTAAAATCCACAAAAAAAGAAAGGAAAGGGAAAAGCAGAACACGACGCGGTTCGAGGAAAGTTTGCCAGCATGACAAAGAGCTTTAGGAAAATGTGAAAACTGTAGAGGCGTTGGAGCGAAAAGTCTACTATAGGTTACCCTGTTTGAAAGGAAACTATAGGCTGAAAACCAGAGAGACTTTGGTAGTTGTAGTTGTCTTTGAAAACGTGGAAAAGTCTAGACTTTTGGAGAATTAAAAATGTTTCAATTTGTCTAGATTTTGAATATTTTTTAAATATTTATTTGACCACTGATTAGCACACATATATCTCTCTAACAATACCCTCAATATCCCAAAAATAACCATTTTTCCACTCAGAATTTAGGCTTCAACAGACCAAAAGATCTATCCAACCCCATGCATCGCACAGTGGTTGGGCTTGTATGGAGACGCGGCCAAAAATAGTTCTAGTTGATGTATCGTTACGAAATTAATACCAAAAATCAAGAAAAATGTTTTAAGTATATGTCCAAAAAATTGGCCATGTAGTACGTCTATATCATATAGCTGCCATAGGAACAATCTGTTAAAAATCAACATTTAGTATGAAAAACTTTTTTGTTTTTCAAAATATCTTAACCAATTTCACAGATAATATGTTTGGAACAGGTTTATGCATTCTTACCAAATTTGGTTAAAATCGGATGTCTATATCTTATAGCTCCCATACAAAATTTTTATAAAATTATTTTTTTCCAAGAGCTAAAATTAATTTTTTATCCCTTAATGAGAATGTTGGTGAAATATAAGTGTCCAAAAGTAAAAAAAAAAATTATTAACTTATATATTGTGTATTTTATTTGTTTAGCAACAAATGCACACAGCTTAAGGGGGGTAAGGCTAATTCGGTGCAAAACTGCCCACTGTTCAAAAAAATGTTTTGGCGAAACGGCTAAAGTTAGCTTAATGATTTAAATACCATAAATTAACAAAACATTTGAGCCATTTTTTTTTAAATTTTTGTATTAAAAAATATTTACAGGCCTACGCTATATTGCTAATCTCCTGAGTCCCCACAAATAAAAGTTGGTTTTCGGTGTACATCCTAACTGTCCACAGAAACGTCCGATATCAAAAAAATGTATTGCATTCCTTAAAGAATTAGTGCCCCAAGGTACTTAAGAGACGTTTTTATTTTTAAAAATTTTTCCCGATTTTTTATCAAAATTGGAAGTCAAAACCCCGATTTTCGACTAAAAAATTAAGTTAATTTAAAAAAAAATATACATTAACATTAAAAATTTAAAAAAGCTTTACGTGAGTATCTGTACAATTAAATTTCAAAGTTATGTTCAAAATTTCAAACCGATTGGTTAAGTAGTTTTTGAGTTATAGAGTACACCGATTTTCAAAATGGCATTTTTCAGGAGAACGCTTTAAACTTTGTGATTTTCATACATCGAACACCAAACGAGTTCCGTTCAACTACCCATAACTTCGTCAATGTTGTAATAATCGATGTAAAACTTTTACACAATATTTTAAGGATATTAAACCTTTATTTAACAAAAAAAAAAAAAAAATACCAAAAAAATTTTAAAAACCTTACCCTAACCTGTGTTAGTATTTTTAAGATTATAGGCACATAGGCAAATTTCGGCAAAATTTTTTTTTACCATTTGTCATCTTAAAAGCGCGACAAACACATTGGCATACATATGAACTGTAGATTATTGTGGGGTCACAACTATAACTTTAGCTAAACATAAAAAATACGTTTAAAATATAGGCCAGAAACATGATTATTTCACATGAATATAATGAAAACAATAATTATTTTTAATATATTAAATTATATCTCATTTTATAGAAAATACCTTGAACTTCAAAATCCATTACAAAAAATATTAATTTGGACACGCAATAAATAATCGGACCACTTCAAAGTTCGGTTTGGTTGTGAAACACTCGCGATGCGCGTAGCTACGCTTTGCAAATGAATACATCTTCACATCTTTAATTTAATTTTTAGAAAGTCCTGTTAGATTTAAAAAAAAATCTGGTATGCCACAAAGAAGTTTGGATATTTAAGAGACGATCTGTTTACTTTTCGTACATTTTTGTTGTAATAATTTTTTTTATTTTTGGCCTATGGGCGCAACCACTGTGCATCGTCAGCTCGCAAGGATGACCCCACAGGGTGTTGGCGGTTACGATGCCGAAAGCCCAAGAGTGGAAGCAACTTTCCGCACGCAGGCCGCAGAATGCCAGTGAGAGAGGCTACAGAGTGCTTGCTACTAGCATTGTTCCAAAAATGTTTCAAACGCACCCGGAAAACTAATCACGGATTCAATTCCACGCACCAGACCGCAGGAAAAAGGATCGCATGCACCGACATCCCAGTCCCCCTCGGGGAAAGCTGATGCAGCTGAACGTCCGAGCAGCATCCGAAACGGAATCAAAATCAGAACCAATTTTGTAATGGCGGCGTACTGTGAAAATTTGGCAAATCCAATCAAATGTGCGAGGCGTAGGCGAGTAGGCGTGCGCGCATCCAATTGGAAAAATTGCAAAACAGTCTGGTCCATTTTCCTGCCCGATTGTCGGCCGGCATTGCACGTGATTCTGGCAAAACAATGCCAAAGGGAATATGGAGGGTGGTGGAATTATGCCGGGATAATGGATACAGTGTGGTATTCTGCTGTTCCCGAAAACTGACAAAGTGGCTTTAAAGCTCACCTTTTTTTCCGGAGATCTCGCTCAGCGTGTTTTCCCCAAAGGGCCCTGACCTTTAGTTAACTTTTCATAATCGATGAGCAGGCGAATCCCATACGGAGGGGTGGTGGCCAACCCACCAGACACGATAAAGGGTTTTCAACTTTGACCCTGCGCCTTTTTTATATTCTCTCTCGCCGCCCCCTTCCCCCCCCGAAGCAATATTAACAAGTGTGGCTGGCGCAAAGTTTTGGCAGCCGAAAGTGGCTCAAGGAATATATTTTCTTAAGGCTCATCCCTTTCTCTTTTTTCTTGGTTTTTTTACGTTTTCCCCTCATTTCCACCGCCCAATGCCCCCGGGTGGGGCGTGGCTGTGTGTGTTTGCAGGGCGAATGTGGTGCGAAAAGTGTTTTAAAATGAGGATACCACAATTTGAGCATAATGTGGAAGCATTTTGCAAGGTGCGTGTAAATGTGTTGGGCTGTGTCTGTAAAAACAAAGGAGTTAGGGATTTAAAGTCCCTAAAGAGTATGAAATAATAATGAACATAATGATAATAGGGGAAAAGGTTGAATTAAAGTAAGCCTACGCCAGGTGAACTGCTAAAAGGAAATATTTAGCTCGATTTTATCAAATTCAAATGTGCCGCCAAGTTTCATAGCATTTAGCTTTGATACCGTTATAGCCTAGTGTGACCAGACTCGCTTACACCGGCTAAGCTACCAAGCGTTTTGGTTTATTTTGCTAATTGACCCACGGTCACACTGCTCGCCAATATCTTTGCAAAAACAAAACAATCCGGAAAAACAGCGTAAATTAAGACAGTTTCTGAGTTTCTGAACCAAAAATGACGCAGGACATGCTGCTCGGCAACGAGGAACCTAGCAAGAGCAAGGAGACCTTCCTGGAAAAGTTCTGCGTGCTGGCCAAGTCGGCAAATGGCGCCGCACTGCTCGACGTGATTCGCCAGGCTCTGGAGGCCCCAAATGTCTTTGTTTTCGGCGAATTACTGGCAGAACCCTCCGTGGCGCAGGTTTGTTTTGCATAGATATCCAACTGCGCTTTGTTATATCTCGGTGTATTCCAAAAACACAGCTGAAGGATGGACCAGATGCCAAATATTTGGAGACCCTGAACTTGTTCGCTTATGGCACCTACAAGGAGTACCGCACACAGCCGGAAAGGTTCATAGAACTCAGTCCCGCCATGCAGAAGAAGCTGCAGCACCTGACCATCGTCTCCCTGGCCATTAAGGCCAAGAGCATCCCCTACGCCCTGCTGCTCAGCGAACTGGACATTGATAACGTGCGTCATTTGGAGGACATTATCATCGAGGCCATCTATGCAGGTGAGTGGGTTGAATTGAGAAGGGTTTTTTCTGTTAATGCTCCTCGAGAGGTGCTTTTATTGTTTGTAATTTGTTGTATATTGAGTCAGTTTTGATTTAAGGAGAGTTGAGATTGTGTCTGGTAGGGAATATAGTATCTGGAAAGCTTTTACAAAGATTTCAGTCGAGTTTTAAAGGTTTTTTAAGTATTTAGAACGTTTTCTGATACATTCAACACTTACTTGTACGCTTATTATCTATATTTTCTTAATTTTAACTCAATCAAAATAACAAGACACGAGAGTGTCACATATTATTGTCAAAGCAGAGTGCGGAGGCTGTTCCCCACTTTCGCGTCTATCCTACAAGTCACTCGGCTCCACACTTTCCCTTTATATTTTTGCATAATTAAATCAAATGCTAATTTTCCCCATTTCCCACCGAGTCATTTGCGACTCCTTCGGTCTTCAATTAGCATTTTTGAGCGCTTTTGCATCGGCGCCTAGAGCCCAGCAGCTGTGAAAGCAGCTCCGCTCGCAGAGTCTCGTCTGCCTAGCACCACCCAACCGCCCAGCAACCACCACCCGCTTGGGGCAGTGCACTTGATTAGCCGCGACAGCTGGCGCATCCTGGCAAACGAACACAATTGGGACGAGGAGGTAGAAAGCAGGAGGCCGAGTCCTGGGCCAGATTCATTAAGCCACTCGTTCCGATGTTCCGCCACCAGTTGCTTCTCCTCGCTCGTTCCTGCGGGGCAAACTGCCTCTTTTTTTTTTCTCGCCAGCCTCGACGTCGTCAGCTGGATGAACACTTTTGCCTCGATGATTTCCTTTCTGAAATCATGCCTCGCCGACCTTGCACAGTCGAACTTCCCTAATTGCCACATAAAAAAGTTGGCTGGCTATTGAGAGGGCTTTCATTTCGAGCACATTTATTTTGAAGCTGCTTTTTTTGGGGGATTACAGATTGAAGAATATTAAAGTTTGAGTTTGGAAGTACCAATTGTTATGAAAGATAATCTTTTAATAATTGTATTTTTAATAGTTTTGTGTCAATGCTTTGAAATTTGAATGTTTTTACAAAATTTTATACCCCTGCAGGGTTTTATAATTTTAGTTAGAAGCTTGCAAAACAGTAAAGGAGTCATGTACGACCTCATAAACCATATATATCATCAGTCTCAACAGCCAAGTCTATCTAGCCATGTCTATGTTTTACCAACATATCAAAAGGGGTTGAAATTGTCAAAATTAATAAAAATTTACAAAAATTTTGAGTTTTAAAATTAAAATTAAATATTTAGTTTTTTAAAAGTATAAAAAACAAACTTTACGATTGGAATTTGATCTATTTTTTGCTTATGATATTTTAATTTATATTTTATTTAATGAAGAAGTAATTTGCGAACCTATAAATCATATATATTCTTGTTCAGCATAAACAGGGCAATTTTTCTAGCCATTCCCGGAAGAAATTTTTTTCTTTTAATTTTTTTCAAAATTTTATAAGGGGTTACATCGTCAAAATTGTAAAAAATGGATGAAAATTTTAATTTCTTAAATTTTAAAATTTAGTATGAAGATTTGTTAACCTAGACAAAACTAGCATAGTCCAGTATTCCGAATAGAATTTAATGTATTTTTGGCTTAGTAATGGAATTTTTAAGTTTCGATTTTCCCGAAAAAAGGTCATATAAAAAATCGATTTAAATTAATAGAGAGCGAATATTTTAAATCTTCCTTAAAGCTTATGAAGGCCAGAAAATATAATTATTACAAAAGTTGTTTCGTATATTTAGATTCGTCATTATTTTAATCTTAATATTAATCAACAAAGTAAAAAAATATCATAAAGGGAAAACCTAAATTTACTCCATTTTCAAAATTAAATTTGTTGTTACATTTTAAAGTCAATTGGCTGTTTTGCCAACCCATAAAAAACCAATGTGCTTTCCAAATTGAAATGAATACCTTCTTGACTAAAGGGGGCTGAACCCCTGATCCATTTCCAAACTGTAAGGGTATACCATTTTCGGCTTCCCGAAATGAGCTTCCTTTCTTGTAACCAAACCGAGGGACCTCTACTATTTCTGCCCAATATTGGTAATGGCACGTTGTACGCTGTTGTGAATCCTCTTGCCAGCCTTGAATCCTCGGCCGAATCAATCATATTGCGCTGGCACTGGGAGCTGCATATTTTACACAATTTCCACTTGTACTTCCGGACTCGTTCTGCATATCTGCTCAAAGCCGTAAATCAAACGCAACACCCGGAAGCCGGGGCCCAAACATCGGGGAGCTGCAAACTGGCAAGCTGGCGAGCTGAGAGAGCGTGTAAGCCCACTTCTCAGCCCCGAATGTGGTGCTAAGCTGGTTCGTGCTGTTGATTTTTGAGCTTTAGCCTTAGATCTATGGCCAAAAGCGAAAACAAACAGAAGCAGGGGTGGGCCAGAGAGCCCTTCAGGGGAATTTTTGGTTAGTGTTTGGGGTTTTAAGCGGTGCCCGACAAGTGTCCACTTGAAGTATAGAACCAAACAAGGCCAAAAACATATTTCAGGGCGGGACCAGAAAGCAAATAGCGTTCAGCAGTTTTTAATGGACCCATCGCCGTCCATTATCCAAGCAAATAAAGTGACAACTCAACGCCATCTGTCCCATAAATAACATTTCCCCAGGAGCAGCTAGGACTACATCCCGTGTAGGGGGGCTTCCTCACCTGGCCACCCTCCTCTAATTGCTTTCCAAATCCATGCGATGAACAGACAAATAAATTCCCCCCCGCACCGGCCAAGATTTATGTTATGATAGCCATCATTAGGGCATCACTGGGAGTGGCAGGGAGGCCAAGTGCCAGATGCTGATGCCCGCCGGAATGCGAAATCATTGCGTTCTATTAGGCGCCGTAATCTGACATCGCAATTTAATGTAGTTGCGCGGTGGAGCTGGAAACGGGGCCGCCATTAGCCGGAGGCAGGCGGATGGAGGTTCTCCTTGTCCGCGATTCCAGGTCATCCCATTAGAGCATCATTTGTCTCGCGGGGCGGCGTCTGGTCTGGGAATATGGTAATTAAATGCCTTCTTTAATTGAAATTCGCTTGAAATTTATTTCGACTGGTTCCATTAGCGTCCTGGATTGTGATTGATTCGGCTCACAAAAGAATTATGTACATTCCCGGCTGATTGCAAAAATAATACCCTCAAATCTAGCGAAACCCGATTCAATTATAGTTCAGAAACCAGCGACAAGTTTCCAATTTTAACACCTGACCTCGCCTGATTATTTTCTTTTGCAAGTTAGTTTGTCCAAGTTCCGTGAAAGTAAAGGATAGAACGTGCCCCAATAAAGAGGAGCGAAGGCATTCCCCCGAGAAAAATTCTATAGACATGCAGCTAGTTCGCCTGCATTCAAGGCACCCATCCTCCAAGGATAACTGCCTGGGCTGCGCTAGCATTCCATTTCCAGATACTGTTCCCTGTCAGCTACGTGGTTTTTAATTTCCTTACAACTTTCAAAATATTTCCCCAGCTGCCTTGGCAAAAGTAGCAGAATTCGGAGAAGCCCAAGAAAATAAGCAAAACATTTTCATGAACCCCAGCAAAGCAGCCTTGCCGAGTTTTCCCTCTATTTCCACCCATCGGTTGGCATGTGTGTGTAGGTTTTCTTTTTTTTTTTGTTGTATTTTTTTGGTATTTTTGTGTGTTGCAGAATGTGTCGCGGAATGTGCCGGCTTTATTGTAGTTTTTCCTTATTTTTTTCGGGGGGGCGTAAAGTTCTTTAACTTCTTTTGTGTGTCAAAGGAAAGTTTCGCATAATTCAGGGTGCTCAAAAGCGGCTCTTCGGCTCTCGTAGGGGATTTGCAATTCAGAAAGCGGGAGAAGTATGATTTGTGTGTCGCGTGGTTTATGGAAAAAGGTTAAGCGCATTTGCACTTTCACATAACACTTTTTGGGGTCGAAAAAAAGGGGGAAACCCCTTTCGCAATCGGTTAATTAACAGCATACAGATTTTGGCTTTCAGGCAGCTCCATAGCGGTTGCATTGCCAAGCCCGTTTACCTAATTGAAAAACCGCTAACGCCGGCATCCTGGCCACAAAGCTGCCTGCTCAAAAGCTCAATAGCAGCTCTCAGATAATTTCGGCGTACTTCCCCCTAGACTATCAGGACTCATCTCGCGGGGGGGAGCCTTTGGGACCCTTGGACTTTGCAGCTGCTGTTTCTGATTGCACCGCTTTCGGCGCCTGCACTACCAACTTGGCCCGGGAAAACTTTCCGTGGGCGCCGAGTGCGTGGGTGTGTCGAGCACTTTGTCAGTTTTAGGTGAAAACTTTACCGCAGCTCTGTGCACCACCTCATATTGATGGCAGAAGTTTCCAGCCCGCTTACTTGCGGTCATCGGCGGAGTGTGTGTGGTCCAGGGGTGGCAGCTGTTGACTACAGAAAATGCGGTTTATTAGCAAAAACAATCATGAAATTGAGAATATTATAGTTGGATAGGGTTTAGACAAGTTTAAATAAGACATTAAGTACTTATAATTATAAGTTAAACATAAGTTCGCTTTAATGTTCTTGCATAGACTTTTAATTTGGTTAACATCTAGCTATCTGGGCAACACTATATGGCGGACATGCCTCTTTCAACCAAGTTGGTCCTGTGGCATTGTCCTTGCCTGCCGCTGTCGTTCGCTTTTTGTGTAAATTTTCAATTAATAACTTCTATTTTATGTGGGCCAGGTAAGGGGGCTGTCTGCCGAGTTGCCAAAGCTGTCAGAGACAGGTGCAAAATACGAAAAGAGAGCGAGACTTTGGGACTTCTTTTAGAGGGTTAAGTAAGCAACGGAATGTTAAAGCAGATCCCACAGTTAAAGGTGGGATGTCTATGTCTCCCAAAGGACATACCAGTTGGTGGTTTCAGTGGTTTCTGTTTTGTGTGGTCAGTGGCCATGCATTTAGTCAGCGTTTCATCCCTTGAAGTATAGCCTCCGCAACCATTTGATTTCCATCAGCAGTCCGCAGATCCACGGAACCGCAGCCGGCGGCGGCTTGACATCATCGCCTCCTGCCCGCCGCCGGTCCGTGCATTCATCCTGTGCTGTCCGTCAACAGCTTTTTGCGCAATTTTGCGGGCGTCGCTGTAAGCATGATTGATTGCTCTGGCGTTGAATTTCACGCACGCGACAGCAGGCGCTCAGATGGGTGCAAATACAAGACACATGTCAACGCCGGCAAGCCGCACAAATTTTACAGAACTTGCGGCTTAGGCCGCAGTGTGGAATGCGGAAATTCCGCCACGTTTTCCAATTCCAATTATTCTGAGGCGCACTTGAAGGCGTCAAATCAATAAACATTTTTGCGCCAGGCCCCTCGAGCTAATTAGAAAAGTGTTTGACAAATTGTCGAACTGAATCGCAAGGAATTGAATCTTCGGGCGGAGATTCCCGGCATATTTGAGTGAATATTTATGACTTAAAGAACCAAAGACGGTGCGCCATAAACACAGAAACTTGGTCCTGGTCCTGTGCAGCCGCTCAAGGACGCAGGCGGTCGTAAAGTCAAAGGCAAAAAGCGCTCAAAGACTTAACTTGGGCCAAGTCATGGCCAAAAGTCTTGGGACTGTCACTTAGCTTAGCTCGGGAAAGTTTGGGCCTGGGGCCATAGTTCATTCCCGGCTAGGAGCAGCATTGCATCCAGGGACCAGTCCACAATCCTGTCAGCATCGGATGAAAACGTTTCCCCAAATCCGCCTGTTATAAATTTTAATCCCAGCAGAGCGACAACAACGGTATCAAAGTGTTTCGAACGATTTCAAATTAATTACCCAAACTACTCTGGCTGTCGACCGTCGTCCTCGTCGCATCAAATTGCATTTGGTGGATTAGGCCCGTTGGGCGGAATTTTGGCAATTGAGTGGGAGTCGAGCTGTTACAGGATCAGGAGCAGGAGTCGGAGAGCGAGGCTACAAAGCTAATCGCCCCCTAAGCCACTCGACTGCTCGGCTTACTGGTATGGCCGCAAAGTATCCCAAAAACAAAAGTTAAAACGTTTGTTTTCGATTACACAACGGACGTGTCTCTGGCCACCGCAATGTTTTTTGGTACCGTTTTGGGAATTTGCGGTGAGGGATTTGTTGCGTATATATGTGTATGTGTATATTGTGTATTTATGGAACTGCAGCCATCCATTTACTTAATTGTTCCCATCTCCGGCGGTCTGTTGAATTTGCGCTCATCTAGCCATTTTCTAATCAGTTTAATTGATGGAGCGTTGGCTGCGTTAACTTTTATGGATATCATTAGGGGGGATTGATTGAGTATTTTTTGGTTAAGAGCTGGTGGAGAGCAGGAGTTTGGGGGTATTATCAATAATTCTGGAGTTGATTTTGCGAAATTTTAAAGTTTAAAACTGTTTTACTGCAACAATGTTGATTTTATTTGGGTTTAAGAGGAATGTAATCAATCAACCAATCAACAAAATTTACAAGCAGAAATGGTTTTATTTACAAATTATTTTGAGATACCTTTGCAGTCTTTATTTGCTGGTTAAAATGCTTCATATATCAATATTCCTGTCAAGTATTTGTGCTCACTCGGTGTGAGTTTCATGGGGTTGCTTTTGTGGCAACTGTACCACACTTGTTGCTCTCTGTGGCAACTTTGAGTGCACTCCAGAACTGCCACTTGAGGCGACACTTTGGCCAACTTTGGACACTGTTCGTTCTGGGCAATTAGTCAGAAGAAGAAAGTTGACAACTGAAACTCTAGAAAACTTCTTATTTTCTCGGCATTTTTCCCTTGCACAGACATTATTCACGGAAAGCTGTTCCAGAACACGCGCATTCTGGAGGTGGACTACGCCCAGGGGCGGGATATTCCGCCCGGCTATACGGGTCAGATTGTGGAGACTCTCCAGGCGTGGGTCAACTCCTGCGACAGCGTCTCCAACTGCATTGAAATGCAGATCAAGTATGCCAATGCCGAGAAATCCAAGAGACTGTTGAACAAGGAGCGCGTGGAGCAGGATGTGAGCTAAGCTATAATCCGTTTTTGGAAAACTATAATAAATTATTCAACCCCCGCAGCTCATTAATCTAAAGAAGGTGCTGAAGAGCCAGGCCTCGGACAGTGATGAGAGCATGCAGATAGACACCCATGGACCAGGAACGAGCGGCGGCTTGGGTTTGGGCCCCTCGGAGTTGCGCAAGAAGCCCTCCAAGCTCAGGAATCCACGCAGTTCGGCAGGTAAGAAAGGCGAACGCAACCTGTTTAATTACAACCCTATTAATTATAAGATTTCTCATTAATTCTTTTTTTCTTACCTGTCCATTTTCTTTATATTTTCTCTCTTTTCAGTTGGCTTGAAGTTCGGCAAGTGAGTGGAGGCTAGTCGAGCGGACGGGGAGGAGGTGGAGGAGGAGCTGTCCAGCTGGAACGGCAGGCTGCTTGCCATGCCGCGAGGCACTTGAGTGGGGCCGCTCGACACTCGGAGGAACACTTCACACCAATGTAATCGAAAACGCAACTCATTTCTAATCAACAAACAAACAAATGTTGGCTGTCCGCAAAATGGATTCCATAATTAGCATCAAATTGATCATTTACAAACAGCAAATACAAAGCCTGTAATAATAGAAACTATGCATCAAAGCGCCTATTAATTAGTGTACTTATTTATCCACATTTGCGGGATTGGGCAGCCACAATGTGTGTCTGTGTGTATCTGTGCGGCCTGAGGCAATTCCGTCTTAAATGAGCATTTAATTATTGTCAAAATAGTTGGGGCAATAGACAAATGTTTATTCGAAACGTGTGCACAAATCCAAACTGTGCGTGCTGCGGTCTGTCAGCACAGATGTATTTCTATTCATTTTATTTGTGGCCAATTACCTGCAGCAAATTGAATTCACTAATTCAACCTTTGATGGCCATTATGCTGGCTACTTTGGGCTGATGGTTTTCCAAAATATTTACATTGAATTATAGCGTCAGTTGGTGTTTTCACACGCTGTTACATTTAGTTTTTTATTAATTAATTGGAAGGACTCTGCGTTGTTTTCTATCTGTTCACTGCATAAAAAGATATCAGCTGCACTTGGCCAGACGCTGCTCATTATATTTATAAAGAAAGGAACAAACTAATGCACAAATATTGAAGAACCAGCTAAATGTCGGGGGAAAAGTTATAGAGAACAGAAAGTGCGAACAATAAACTATTCTGTTAATTGTGCAAAATACTTTCCCCCCTTCAGCTGTGACGTGCCTGGTGGCAATTACTTAATTACATTTACAGAGTCAAGCCACCGCAGCATATTTTCCGACAAATGGAAACCGCATTATTGAGGAAAACTTAGGAGCAGCAAACTCTTCATTTACATCCCTCGAATTGTGGTGGAAGCAAGGATTTATTAAGAAGCAGCTTAACATTTGCACATTAATTAGATGCAGTTAGCAATAGCTACATTCTGGTTAGCAAAAATAATATGTCTTTATTTCTTAGTTAATTAAAATGGCAAATATTTGTATAGATTCTCCACAGGTGAGACATGACTCAAGCTAATTCTTAGGCTGCAAATACCTCAAAATATTATAACGCCTTGGTCTAAGGGTAACTCTTAGATTTACAAGTCTTATATAGATTTCTCATAGTTTAAAATCTAAAAAATTATGAAATATTTTTATATGAGTCTAAACTGTTCAGTTTTCCATCTGGTAATTATTTTTCTGGCTCTATTCTATACATTCGCCTATCTAAAAGGTGTTTGTGTTGCAGATGGGAGTTACCCCAGGTGGTACGTGGCGCTGTGGAATATTTAGAACTGGTTCACAACTCGTTCTCTTACTCATATATTTGTTATTGCAAAATAAAAACAATTTAATGTATTGTATTAGCTGCCTGGCGACAAATTTCATCTTTATGGCTTCGATTTTGTGAGTTCGCGCTTTTTGGCATTCAATTTCTAATTTGATACCCATTTAATCTGCATTGGCAACCGGGTTCTGGCCAAGACAAATGGCCAAAAGTGTTCAGGTTGCCTTTTCTAGGCTCTATTAAAATCTGGGGCATATTAAATTTATGCTGCCTTTGGCGAACAAGTTTTCTCGATCAGCTGTTTAGAAGGAAATTTAAATGCAAAAAATTTGAATTGAATTGAATTCAAAATAAAGGCCAAGGAAGTTTGTTGACTGCGAAAATTATGGATTATTAAATATTGTGATTATAATTATTAAATATAAATATGGTAAGGTTAATATAATAGACAGTAATTATGTATTTCAGAGGACGTGTATAATATTGTATAAATAATCTTTTTATATTTAAATTAATACGAAATAAATAAAAAGACTAGAGTATATTTATAATCTAAGCTCATCCCTCTCCCATTTGGGCTAAGGAGTGAGATTGATTGATAAACTATTATCCACTTAAAACTAAATAAAAACAAGAAAGAAAGCTAACTTTGGCCAGCCAAAGTTTGTATACCCTTGCAGGTAACAATTAAAATATATCATAACTAAGCTAAAAATGCATTAATTTCGATTCGGAAAGCAGTTTTGTGTTAGTTTTTATTAATTTAAATAAACGGCATACCAAATTTAAAATTTTAAGAAATCAAAATTTTTGGCCATTTTTGCTAATTTTAATGATGTAACCCCTTATCAAATTTCGCAAAAATGGCCAAAAAATCGATTTCTTCCTGACATGTCTAGAAAGATTCCCCTGTTGATGCTGATCAAGAATATATATGGTTTATGGGGTCGGAAATGATTCCTTGACTTAGAAAAATATTATTTTGTATTATAAAATCGGATTTTTATACCCTTGCAGGGTATTGTAATTTCAGTCAGAAGTTTGCAGAAGTTTCTACGCAAACTAGTCCCTCAGTTTTAAAGCTATCTATGTATATGAAACTTGGCATATAGTCTTCTATATACTCTCACTGCTATATGTATCTGGACGGGGCGGATCGGACGACTATATCATATAACTGCCATACAATTGTTTGATAAATTTTGAGAACAAAAATTATTACTTGGCTGTTTGGTGAAATCAATGTGCAATTTTTTTGTGAAGGCGGCATTTATTTGGGATCGTTTGGGGAAAAATATAATTATTTTGAAAGCAAAATCTAAATTTTTAAATTTGTTTTCTGAATTTTTAACATTTTTTTCGGATGTTTTACAATTCTTCTAAATTTTTAAAAAATTGTTCTAAATTTTTAAAATTTTTCGGAATTTTAAAATTGTTTTTCTGAATTTATAACATTTTTTAGATTTTTTATATTTATTTAAGAATTTTTTTAGAATTAAACAAATTTTTTTAAAATATTTAAACTGCTAAATTTGAATTTAACTGCCAAATTTGAATTTGAATTTAACGACGATCAGTTTCAGTGTGCCCAGGTGCAGTTGTAAAATAACACCTAAATTTGGATTCAAAAGGTTTGAGTCTCCGCTAACTTGCGCCGGCTCCTAAATGGTTTGGAACTTGGACATTTTATAACAGTTTATACCAGTTTTCAGCTGCTTGCTGCTGATTTCTGTTCGCCTGTTACCCCAATTTGGGAAACTGGCAATTTGCTTGGAAATGTTCGGAAATTTGGATGGGCTGCTGTAGGGATGTTGTTGTAAAAAGGTTGTTGTTGCCATAAGCTGTTGTTGTCGGCAACAAATTGGTATATATGCATAAAATGAAATATAACAGTTTATACCAATTATTATTTTTGCCCAAATGTTTTTATAACAGTTTATACCAGTTTTCAGTTGCTTGCTGCTGGTTTCTGTTCGCCTGTTACCCCAGTTCGGAAAGCGGCCAATTTGAATGAAAAGTTTTGCTCACTTCCATCAGTGATGCTCACTTCCATCAGTGATGCTCACATCCATCAGTGATGCTCACTTCCATCAGTGATGCTCACTTCCAGCAGTGATGCTCACTTCCATCAGTGATGCTCACTTCCAGCAGTGATGCTCACTTCCAGCAGTGATGCTCACTTCCATCAGTGATGCTCACTTCCAGCAGTGATGCTCACATCCATCAGTGATGCTCACTTCCATCAGTGATGCTCACTTCCATCAGTGATGCTCACTTCCATCAGTGATGCTCACTTCCATCAGTGATGCTCACTTCCATCAGTGATGCTCACTTCCATCAGTGATGCTCACTTCCATCAATGATGCTCACTTCGATCAGTGATGCTCATCATTGGTAGTTAGTGAGATGCCATTTTGTCCCAATAATGCATAATAGCTAGATGAGCATCACTGATCCACATGCGCACCACTGCAATTAAGCCCGACTTTATTGCCCTCCAATATTGAAATATAGCCAGATGAGCATCACTGATGCAGATGAGCATCACTGATGCAGATGAGCATCACTGAAGCAAGTGAGCAAAACTTTTCATTCAAATTGGCCGCTTTCCAAACTGGGGTAACAGGCGAACAGAAACCAGCAGCAAGCGACTGAAAACTGGTATAAACTGTTATAAAAACATTTGGGCAAAAATAATAATTGGTATAAACTGTTATATTTCATTTTATGCATTTATACCAATTTGTTGCCGACAACAACAGCTTATGGCAACAACAACCTTTTTAAAACAACATCCCTACAGCAGCCCATCCAAATTTCCGAACATTTCCAAGCAAATTGCCAGTTTTCCAAATTGGGGTAACAGGCGAACAGAAATCAGCAGCAAGCAGCTGAAAACTGGTATAAACTGTTATAAAATGTCCAAGTTCCAAACCATTTAGGAGCCGGCGCAAGTTAGCGGAGACTCAAACCCTTTGAATCCAATTTTAGGTGTTATTTTACAACTGCACCTGGGCACACTGAAACTGATCGTCGTTAAATTCAAATTTGGCAGTTAAAATATTTAAAAAAAATTTGTTTAATTCTAAAAAAATTCTTAAATAAATATAAAAAATCTAAAAAATGTTAAAAATTCAGAAAAACAATTTTAAAATTCCGAATAATTTTAAAAATTTAGAACAATTTCTTAAAAATTTAGAAGAATTGTAAAACATCCGAAAAAAATGTTAGAAATTCAGAAAAAAAATTTAAAAATTTAGATTTTGCTTTCAAAATAATTAGATTTTTCCCCAAACGATCCCAAATAAATGCCGCCTTCACAAAAAAATTGCACATTGATTTCACCAAACAGCCAAGTAATAATTTTTGTTCTCAAAATTTATCAAACAATTGTATGGCAGTTATATGATATAGTCGTCCGATCCGCCCCGTCCAGATACATATAGCAGTGAGAGTATATAGAAGACTATATGCCAAGTTTCATATACATAGATAGCTTTAAAACTGAGGGACTAGTTTGCGTAGAAACGGACAGGCGGACGGACGGACATGACTAGATCGACTCAGCTGTTGATGCTGATCAAGAATATATATACTTTATAGGGTGGGAAAGGTCTCCTTTACTGCGTTGCAAACTTCTGACTGAAATTATAATACCCTGCAAGGGTATAAAAAGTATAGCTTCGTTGTTTTTCAACGTATGATTATCTGCTCTCAGATATAAGCTTTTTTTATTATTCTGGAATTTTGGTATAAATTTTATAAAAATCGGACAACTATATCATATAGCTGCCATAGAAGCGATCGGTAAATGTATAAAATATGTAAA